AAGCACACAAAACTGATGGTAACACACAGGCATAAATTGAGAATTGATTAGCAGACAGGGAACAAGAAATTGAGAATAATTTGGGTCTTTATCAGAGTGGAAGGCAGTGACAAGTAGAGTACCTCAAGAATCAGTGCTTAAGGTCCAAACATTTACAATACACAATGATCTGGATGAGGGAATTAAATGTAATACTCCAAGTTTGCTCAAGACAAAACCAAGTGGGATTGCATGTGGTGCGGAGGATGCAAACAGGCTTCTGAATAATTTAGATATAATATTTTTTTTTTTTTTTTTTAAAAATCGATAGGAGGACAGTGCTTAAAGTAATGATGCCACAAAAGCTCAGAGAAGGAAAAAATACCAAATTCAAGAGCGAGCAGTTTGCTTTCTCCAGGGAAAGTGTTAATTTTTAGGTCTATGACAACTTATTTAAGTATTTGCAAACTCTAAATATTACTTCCTTCTATTTTTTTTCCTGTTACTTGGAATAGTAGTGTGTTGATTGTTCTCTTTTCTTCTTCACTGTTTACCAGACAAATGTCTTTTCCATTTCCATTCATTGGTCTCTTTTCCTCAAAAGGTTCAGCAACAAGGAAAACAGCCAATTGTTAGCCTGCAACAGTAACTGTAATGCCTGCAGTAAACAAGATTCAGCATGGTCTCAGATTTTATGACACACATTTGTTCAATTTATATTTCACCACAACGGATCGGATCTTTGGACCGCTTTTGCTCACAAAATCAGTCTTGATGTAATAGAATCTTAACTGCATTAATATCCCAAGTTTTGATATACTGTACATATTTTAACCAACACACACCTCTTTCAAAATATTCAACTGCAAATCCATGCACTGCATTTTTTTTTTCATTTTATGATCTACAGGCAAGTGTCTCTGAATAAGGCGTATAGATCTGTAAATTTCCCCTAAGAGCCGACACCAAAAAGGCTATCAAAATAACTTATTTCAGCTATATGCTGTACATTTTAAGGAAATAACAGATAGCACAAACAATAAGATTTAAGTCTTTGCATCGGTGCCATCCAGTATTGCTTTTAAACCTTTGCCTACATTGGCAAATCTTACAAGTCATCAACTAGTCAAAATACACATCATTCCCATTAGGGTGGCTGAAATGTTGAACCAACAGATGGGGTGGAGGGTCTGGGAGAACATCATTCATGTTATGAAATAAAAGTTAGTAACACTGGTGAACAGTTAGAAAGCAACACCACCCAAGTGAATTCACATTCAAAGATTGTTGTGTTTGCTTGGTGCCATTAGTGCTCTTACGTTTGTGAGCTAGACAATAATGTATTATATTTCCTTGGTTTACTTGTACCCCTATCATAACTTGAAGGATAGCTCCCCATTTTTGCAGCAACTTCACTCAGTATGAACAGAGAAACTCAAGCAACTAGAGGATAATGTTGCTATGGGTCTCAAAAACAAGATGAAAGAGAAATTTCAGTAACAATGATGAGGGATAGCAGTTGCTTGGCACATTGATCGGGAGTAAGCAACTTTAATATGATCTTCCACTGATAATCAAGGGTAGACGGGAGATAAGTCAATGTGATACCTATATGCAGAAAAAATAAGTGGTGCACAGGTAATAACAGATCCATTACTCAAACAGTTGTTTGGAAGTATAGAACATAAGTTTTGCTGTAAGAAAGTTGAAACAATTGCACAGAGGCCAGTATCCCATCACCACATTACCCTTTACCCAGCCAGCTCAGAGTCAGTCCCCTGAACTGAGGACGTTCTAAATCCCGTTTATCTTGGTCAGCCGGGCTTCCTGATTGAGGTTGTTAACCCGGGCCAATCAAGGACCTTGTAGTCAACAAGGTCCACCTGGTTCCAATCACTACAAAAGTAAACATTTTTCTTGCACTCTACAAGATGTTTTGCAAGATACTGAAGTAAGGGAAAAGTAATATTTATACTGTCTGAAAGTGCTGATGGGTTTGCAAATGGACTTATTGATAGAGATGTTGTGCCAGATAATGCACAAGTAAATGTTAACAGACAACTAACTGCCAAGATTAAATCGTAAATCAGGCAGTTTGGTAGTAATTGATGAAGGCACTGCTCCAAGAAATGAGCCAGCGAATGGCTATCAGCTATTTTCCTGAAACAGCACAGCACATATATTCTCTTGTTGTCTGCAAACAAGGCCTGTGCCTTAAACATAAAAACATGGAAAATTTGGCCCTTCGAGCCAGCTCCACCATTCATGATGATCACGGCTGATCACCCATCTCAATAGCCTGTCTCTGCCTCCCTCCACCTCTCCCCCAGCACCACCATTACCATAATCTTTATGCTCCAAGTGCTGTGTCTGACTGCTTCTTGAAATCACAGGGTATTTTGGCCTCAACTGCTTTCCGCGGTGAAGACATTTCTCCTCATCTCAGTCCCAAATGGTGTACCTTGTATCCTTCGACTGTGACCCCTGGTTCTGGACTCCCCCCACCATCAAGGACATCCTTCCTACATTAACTGTCTTGTCCTGTTAGAACTTTTTTTTTGGTTTTCTACAAGAGCCCCCTCATTCTTCTGAATTCCAGTGAATATAATACAAAACAGTTCAATTCAGTTTTGCTATCCCAAGAATTAAATTGGTTAACTTTGGTGCACTCATCCACAGCAGGAACATCCTTCCTCAGATGAGGCAGGCAGCATGGTAGCTCAGTGGTTAGCACTGTTGCCTTCCTGAGCTAGAGGACCAGGTTCAATTCCAGCCTTGGGTGATTGTGTGACGTTTCTCCATTTGCCCCTCATCTACATGGGTTTCCACCAGGTGTTCCGGTTTCTTCCCCCAGTCCAAAGATGTGCAGGTTCGGTGGTTTGTCCTTGGTAAATGCAGGGTTACAGGGATACGGAGGTGGGGATGTGTCAAGGACGGATGCTTTTCGGCGGGTCATTGTGGACTCGATGGGCCAATTGGCAACTTTCCGCATTGTATGGAATCTATGCTTTTATAAAACCAAAACCACACACAACATTCCAGGTGTGGTCTCAACCGTGGTCCTGTGTAATTACAACAGGATATCCCTGCTCCTGTACTAATATAGGGAGCATCATTATATACAAGTGCATCACACTGCAAGCCACACACACACACACACACACACACACACACACACACACACACACACACACACACACAAATAGTTGACAGGTTCATTTCTCAGAGCAATATATTGATCAGAGTCTACCTGTCTGGTTTAAAACTGAAACAAATCTTAGCAGTTAACTGATGCATTCCCCATGAAAACCCCTCCAAGAATCCACTTGCCAACAATGACACTCTCTAATACAGCATGTATGTTGGTTTCCCTTTACATTGGTATTCTTGTACAAGATAAAAATCTTTGTCTATATGTGTCTGTTTTCACCAATACTCAAATTCATTACTTACTTCAATCTCACATTAAAAACTGAATCATGTAGTAGCTTCAAATTTAATTATCAGAATAATAAGCTATTTGTCAATTTGGACTCCAATGAGGACTTCCTGCCTGCTCACCTCCTTAACCACTTTGAGAATGTATCATACCATGTGAGCTACAGTGAAGTATTATGTCCAGAACTCCAGAAGGCATTTGTCAAAGTTCTAGTTGAAAGCAGAGTAGGTAAGCTGAAAAAAACATTGAGATTCAATACAACTCTTGAAGATCAATAAGACATTGGTTGAGGAATATAAATCAATGGTTATTTCAGCACTGGGAGAAACTAACACAGTACAGTGTTCCAGGGAATTTTATTAAGACAACTATGGTTTCCTGATTGCATCAAATGAAAAATCAATGCAAATTCATCAATATTGCATATTATGCCAATGAGGAAGAAGTGGAATTAGAGGCAGCTGAGAAATTACAAAATGTTCAAATTGGCAAACCAACGGAAGATTAGCCTGAATCCAGTTAACAGTATACCATTCACTTCATGAGAAATGCAGGAAGTGGCAAATGATGACATTGAGAAAGATCCAGAAGTTTAGTAGACTTAGTACATTCAAAATGTCCAACCAATTCACGCATAAAAATTAAAGAATCCAAAAAAAAACAAATATATAGCTGAGACAGAAGAGTACAACTTAGAGAAAATCACTAAATCATGTTCTGCATGAACCAATATATTATTTTGTTCACTTCTGGTCATATAACATTAAGTGGACATACAAACCCGGGATGCAATGCAACAAAGATCCATAAGTTTCAACATAAATGAAGACAGAAGGAAGGTTGAAAAGCCCAGGTTAAAAGGAAAAGTCTGAGTGATACTCTTTTAGAAGTATACAACATTTCAAACAGTAACAAAAAGAGGAGGTTCTGTAATTTAGTTTAAATTCCATTGAGAGAACAGAAGTACAGCTTGAAAACGGTAAAATGCAAATTTAGGAATGGGATGAGAAGTTTGTCTTCATACAAGTACAAAATCAGCACATTGAATAATATTCTAGATATTGTATTGTTGAAGGAAATATCTTGTAATCAAAAGAACAAAGAATGCTGAAATGAGAGAAACTGCAAGGTCATTCCGCATGAATGAGCCAAAATGAGCCAAATGGTCTTCCTCAATCACAGTTATCCTTCCAAGGACTTTTGTGGACTTTGCCATATAAATGGCACCAACAAATCTCAAAATGCTGATAGCAGAGAAAATTTAGAGACATACCAAAGGTGGCTTGGGAAACATTACAATGATAATGTTTTCATATTAAAAGCATCTCAAGGCTTCTACAATATATGATCTTCTTTCTAGTCAATAATGCCCATTCCAGTAATTAATGAATACCAGGATGAAGAAAGATACATATTGCATTCATAATCTAACATTTGGCAAGCTGTGCAAAAAATTTTCAAAAAACAAAGCAGAAGCATTACCCAAAACTACTGTTCTGAATTCTGGAGCATCCAAGCATTATTATGAAGCTCCGTTAGAAACAAGTTTAAAAACAGAAATTAATATCAATTTAAATTGTACCTGATATAATACTAAGGAATGCCCATATCTTGGAGACGGTCTTGCAACACTTACTATGGATACACCTGCCCATCCATTGCTCTCCAAATCGTATCTGAAATCAAATCAAATAGATCAGTGCTATAGTGAACTATACTGGAGACAAACAAGTTTCTTTTTATGCATATCAAGATACAAGATTACTAGGTCCTTGTTGTACAAATCAATTTAACATTCATTCAACAATTGTGTGACATCAGGCACTTAAGTGTTGACTCATCAGTCATGGTCTATCACAAATTGATAACTGATTAGACTTAAAACTAATAAACACTGCCTTATGGGGATTTACTCTCCAAATATACATTTTAACTATAATCCTTCTGTCCAAAATTCAGATTTAAAATGTGACTAGACAACTTACTTTGATGCATTACTCTTTAGTAACACAATCTAGCAAACACACCTTCAGCAATTATGTTTGCTTGTATAAAGATGCTTAGGCCTTGGATTTTCGTAGCTCAATTCAACCAAGTTGACAATAACCAAAACTCCACTGTCCCATTCCACACCACAGCCTGCATTTGTTTTTATGTAGCAATATTATACTGTATTGATAGAAGTATTATTGCTGTGTCACCTTTTTCATCTCCCTTGGATCAACCCAGGACCTACTGTAACAATACTATGGCTTTAAGATATATATTTTGTCTTTTTTTTTTGAGGAAATGTTTTAAGGAAGACATGCTAAGCTGTCTACTGAAAATTGGTAAAAAGCTTGAGAGGTCTTTTTTGTTTTTAAGAAGGTTGGAACAATAGAAGCAGCCTGAACGGGTGTGGTCAAGCTCAAACAAAACCAGGACTTTTAGTTTCAGCTTTCAATAGTCGCTGCTGGGGTCTCAGCAGGGTTTGGAAGCTGCAGTCCATCTCTCTGCTACACTTTTCTTGATGTTTTTCCTTCTGGGCAGCTAGAATTGCAGCGAGACAATCCATTTTATTGTCTTTGCCTTTGCCATGAGGGTGTTTATGGGATGTTACAATATGGGAACAGCTTATTAGTAATGGTTATTGTATCTATTATTTTGTTAAGCATTTCAAGAGTTATAGCCACGTCAATTTTTCTTTTTCTCTTATTTAATTTTAACTCTCGTATACGAATAAATTGTTTTTTGCTTAACATTGAGTAACTTGACCAATCAAATGGCAACACCTTACATTTATCTTTGAAATAAGAAAAAAAGTTAGGGGCTAGGCTACCTTTTTAATATATTTTGACCAGGTTTGGTCTGGTCCATAACAAATTGGGAGCTCATCCAGGATCAAAATCTCTAACTCCAGGTTGGGTTCAGGATTATTGGACTCAAAGGCAGCAAATACTAAGTGTTAGTGACTTTTATTTCTGGTGATGAATTCGGTTAGCTTAAACCTGGTTTAGCAATGGCTCTTTCAGTCACTAAGAACTTCCTGGGGGTGGAATCAATAACTTCGGTAAATTCACACAAAGGCAAGGCAAGGCTTTCAGAATTGGCAACAAGCTGCAGTTGGGTTTGCCTATGTCTGCAAGGAAAGGGGAGCTAGTTGTGGGAATCGCACATCATTTACAATTGCCAGGAATGCCATTGAAATGTTTGGAAAATGGCTAAAATTCAATTGCAAATAAAGCAGCTTGAGTTAGAGGCAAAAAAAAGGAAGAGAAAAAGACATAAAGTAAGGGAGAAAGAGAGCTTTTAACTTCAGACGTTAGAACTGAAAATCAAAGTCGACTTAAAATGGTGAAGGTAGACGCAAAAAGTAGGAGTAATGATGAGGGCAGTGATAGAAAGCAATCCCCATCATAGCTAAAAGATCTAGTGGGGATCTGTTTAAATATATCCAAGCGTTGCCTAAGTTTGATGAAAAGGACATAGAAGCCTTTTTCATTTCATTTGAGGAAGTGGCTAAACAATTGAAATGGCCAGTGATCATTGTTGGTAGGTAGAGTTAATAAGATATTTGCATCACTATCAGAAGTAGTATCTGGGGAGTACAATGAGATGAAAATTCCCTCTTGGGAATCCAAGGAAGGAACGTGGTCAAACGTAGATTGAGTTTGAAAGGATCAGACAAAATAATTTTGATAGAGGGACAAGGACATTGAAAATAGATCAAACATTTGATATTATCAGAGACGCAATTGTTTTGGAGGCGTTCAAAAATTCACTTCCTGAAGTTGGGAGAACTCTCATGGAGGAGAAGAGAGTTACAAGCGCAAGATTAGCATCTGAAATGGCAGATGAAGAAGAGTCGATTCATAACGCAAAGTTAGACTTTCAACATCAATTTATTGGGGAAGAGAGAAATCCTCAGGTGCCATGGGAAAAGTACATCTCATTTAAGATAGTAAGGATAGCTTACCACAGGGTGAAAAGGAAACCCATGAGGGGGAAAGCGAAGTAAAAGAGCTCAGGTGTTTTCAATGTAATAAAGTAGGCCACATGAAGTCACCGTGTTGGTGGTTTAGAAAAAGCACTGGGAAGACAGATGTGGGAAAACAGAATAAGCCAGTGAGTTTTGTTTAAGTGGCAAAGGAAAGCCCAGTAGAAGCTTGGAAGCTGCATAAGAATGTACAATTTGATCAGGGGTTGCTTCAGAACAAAGTGCTAGATCTCTCTGAAGAATTTACTTGCGAGGGTAAGATTTACTTGTTTTTGCCAGGAGGAGGAGGTGAAGAAATTAAAATTTTGAGAAATACAGAAGAAAGTTCTTCTTTGATGGCGAAAGGTGATGAGATATGCAATTCAAAAGGAGCATTGCCAGAAAAGGCAGTAATATGTGGAATTCGTGGTGAGAACAGCAGTATTCCATTGTATAAAGTGAGGTTGGAGAGTCCGGTGGTAATATCGTGATGGGAGTAAGAGAGAAATTCGTGGTTCCAGGCACATAGTTTATATGATACAGCTGGATCATTGGGTGTGTTGCCTACTATGGTTGAAAAGCCAGTGGAAAATCAGGCAACTGAGGTGTTACAGGAAGTATATGCTGAGATTTTTCCTGACTGTGTGGCAACAAGGTCACAAAGCCACAGGTGGAACCAGAAGGAGAAATCAAGGAACAAAGATAACTCAACTTTAATTTCCTTATCAGAGACTATGTTTGATCAAACTGTTGAGAAAAAAATCCAATAACAGATGGAAGACAAAATGGATATTTTTAAGTTTAGAGAAATTAACTGATTAACAATGGAAAGATGAAAAACTAAAGCAGATCTATCAAAAACCATACACAGAAGAATGAGTGTATCCAAAATGTTACAATCTTAAAAATGATACCTTGATGAGCAAGTGGAGACTATCACATATTCAGGAGGACGAGAAATGGGCGGAAGTTCATTACGTTATATTACCAGTGAGTTTATAGAAAGGTGGTGTCAAGCATTCACTCCCTCCATCGCCGATGCTCAGTAGCAGCAGTGTGCATTATCTACAAGACACACTGCAGAAATTCACCAAAGATCCTCAGACTGCACCTTCCAAACCCATGACCACTTCCATCTAGAAGGACACGGGCAGATGTATGGGAACACCACCACCTCCAAGTTCCCATCCAAGCCACTCACCATCCTGACTTGGAAATATATCGCCATTCCTTCACTGTCGCTGGGTTAAAATTCTGGAATTCCCTCCCTATTAGCATTGCGGGTCAATCTACAGCGGTTCAAGAAGGCAGCTCACCACCACCTTCTCAAGGGCAACTAGGAATGGGTAAGAAATGTTGGCCCAGCCAGCAACGCCCATACCCCACAAATGAATAGAAAAAACTGGAGCCAGTGAGCTGGATAGACAGCATTTAAATGTAGCAAAGCATGTGATGAAACAGGAAGCAGACACGAAATCAAAAACAATTTGCAATTTAGCTTGTGAAGATTAAAGTGTCAATATTGCTTCCAGTGGTAAAGGCAAGGTTTAGTGGGCCTTATCAAATTCAAAGGAAATTGAGTGATGTAAATTATTTAATAAGAATACCAGGCAGAAAGAAATTTTAAGAGTGTGTCATGTGAATATGCTCAACAGGTATTTTCATAGGGAAGGAAAGCAAAAGGAGAATGTGTTCCTGGTTACAACACAGAGTGAAGAACCAAGTCCTGGTGATTCTTAATTGGACATTCATCAAATGAAATTGGACAATGAGGAAGTTCTCAAAAATTTTGACCTGAATGAGTTATTCACATCACATGGGGAGAAATGTGGGAATAGGCTTTGAAGTACCAAATTACGCATGATGCAGATACAGGAAATGCTGTTGCAATTAAGCAAAATCCTTACAGACTTAACCCTCTCAAGTTGGCACAGGTTCAAAAAGAAGATTGAACACATGCTCAAAGACAATCTAATCAAAGTGAGTTGTAGCAAATTGAGCTCATGCAATAATGGTGCCAAAACCAGATGGTACCTAATGGTTATTTGTGGACTATCACAAAGTCAATGCAGCTCCAAAACCTGATTCATATCCTATTCAACGTTTGGAAGACTATACTGAGAAGGTTGGACAAGCAACACATATTTCTAACTTGGATTTACATAGGATATTGGCAAGTACCTTTAACCGAAAGAACAAAGAAAATTTCAGCTTTTGTGACACTTCATGGACTGATCCAGTTTAAAGTCATGCCATTTGGTGTGAAAAATGCATCAGCCACATTTCAAAGACTAAAGTTATTTTGGGACTACCCAAATGTGCGGTGTACATCGAAGACCTGTGATTTTTAGTCACACATGGAAGGAACATTTGGAGCATCTATTGGAATTTTTCAATCGACTTTGGGAGGCGGACTTGGCGAAAAACCTGGCTAAGAGCGAGTTCACAAAAGCCGAAGTCACATTTCTGGGCCATGTCAATGGACGCGGACAGATGGCCCCATAGGATGTGAAAACTAAGGTTATTGGTGAGTTTCCCATACCATCGATGAAGACGGAAGTACTATGATTCCTGGGATTGAGTGTATTTTTCAAACTGGAAGATAATACTGAATTTTAGCAGTGTAGTTGCTCCAGACTAACTTGTTGAAGAACTGCAGAAAATTTCAGTGGATGGATGATTGTCGGAAGGCATTCGACAGCCTGAAAGCTTGGTTATCCACTGCCTACTGTTTGCCACACCTAAATACTGAAGCCTTTCAAAGTGGCTATCGATGCAAATGATATGGGTGTCGTGCTGTGCTCTTGTAAGAAGATGACGACTGCAAGACCGACCTACTGGCTATTTTTCCTGAAAACTGAATAATCAACAGAAATATTCCATGATTGAGGAGGCGTCCTTGAGCTACATTTCAATATTTATATTGCCAGAAATGTATCTGAGAGAATTGTATATACTGATCATAACCCCTTGAAGCTTTAGGAGAAATTTAAGGACAAAAATTCCAAACTGTTTAGACGGAGCTTATTATTGCAGCCATTCAATTTGGATGAGAGAACGCAATTGCCAGTGTGTTGTCACGATTTTGAAGAAGGAAGACGGAGGCATTCAGTGGTTGGGAAAAAAAAAAAATGGACTGAATGGGCTGTAGTAGTGAATGTTTGCATGCTCAGAGTCAATGTAGTGTACATGTATTTAGTGTCCTAACAGTGAAAGACTAAATATTTTTAAAAATGAAGGCATTTTTTGAAGCTGCAGTACATTTCTCTCTGTTACAATCCGAGTTCTCGATGTTTTTCTTCCTGTGCTGCTAGAATTGCATGTGATTCAATCTATCTTATTGTGTTTGCCAAGGGTGTGTTTGTGGGATGTTACTTTTAGGAACAGTTAATAAGTAATAGTTATGGTATTTATTATTTTGTTTAGCATTTCAATAGAATTACAGCTAAGCCAATTCTTTTATTTTTCTTTGATTGTATTTTAACTATAGTGTATGAATAAAGTGCGTGTTGATCAACTGAATTGCATCTGGAACGCAACACCTTACATTTTCCTTAAAAATAAGAAGAGATCGGGTCCAGGCTACCCTTGTAGTATATTTTGAGGAAGTCTGGTGTGGTCCATAATGCTACAATATTTGAATTTTCTCTTGCACCATTATATGAGCCTTATTTGTCATAGAAGGATGTCAGTACTTGATTGACTACTATTTTTGCCCCAATCACAAACATAGAATTTACCACTTTTGTACTGAAATCGACAACGCTGCACCTGCTGCAAACTGCATAGTTCTAAGGCAATAATTCTCTTTTGCAACAGACAACTTTTCAACATAAACAATAATGCATTAATATTTATCCAACAGACAATAGGCAGACCATTCATATTTCTTCTCGCCAGATTGTGCTCATAAACATTAAGCACAATATGCTAAACAAATAAGCCTCCACATCAGTTGTTGTGCTGAATTCAGTGAGATATGAATGCTATGGTGTCCTCGAAGAGCACTTTAGTTATGAGACATTGAAAAAAATCCAGTATGGAATCATGATCAACCTACTTGATAACAGCACAGTGGCTGCAGATGTCAGCAGCCCTGAATGTGGATGAGCCACTCACTTTGGGCTTGCATTCTCAAATCACTATCCAAAGATATCTGCTGAAAAGTATACATGTGAACACTGAATTTGGGCACAAGGAGCCTCAAGTATTCTGAAGCCCAAAATTTAATTGCCTGCCAATACTAAGTTTTTATGTACTGGAGGGCATCTAAGGAGCACATTAGATGTCAATATCTTCAGCCAAGACAGGGACAAGGCATGAAAGAAACATTAAGAAAACTGATGGAAGTTATTTACAGTTCAGTAAATTTTCTGGAACATTGAACAGGAATTTTAGGAAAAGCTATGTTACATCAAATCTAGGGGATATCATACTTGGAGATAGTAGGAACTGCCGATGCTGGAGAATCTGAGATAACAAGGTGTAGAGCTGGATGAACACAGCAGGCCAAGCAGCATCACAGGAGCAGGAAAGCTGACGTTTCGGGTCGGGACCCTTCTTCAGAAAATGAAG